AATAGGGGAAGGGTCTTTCAGTAGCTGCCAGTACCTCATGGTCCTTAGCACACAAAGCCAAGGACTGCACTTTCCATAATCATTTCCCACTCCAGAATCACCTGTAGCAGTGTCACCTGGTTTTCAGATGACCAAACTCTGACTAGAGAAAGGGATGGACTGGAGATTTATAAAATTCTCCCCAAAAGAGGGAGATTTACAAAACTGTGAGCTCTTACCCCAGCAGTAATAGTGATTTCTCTGGGAAGCAATATTCTGTAAGATCAAAACTTTTAGCTGTCTGCTCCACACCAATAATAGTGTAGCCTTCTGTTTTCTTCTGCTGTAAATAATCAACAAGCTGAGATGGTTTCACCTGTGCATTAAAAGTAGAAATATAAAAATACTTAAATATCACCTTTTGTAAACTTCTGAAGTTATTGTAAAAAAAAATAAACCATCTACTTGGACACTTTTTAAAATTACTTTTATCCCCAAAGACTGTCCATATACATAGCTTAACATTTTAAAAGCTCTTCAGCAGTAGCACAGAAAGTTAGGCAATACCATAAAATTTCCCTCCAATACAATGAAGAAAGATTTAACAATGACATTCACACAATCAGTTTATCACAGCAATAAGAAGTTGCAAGTATTTTCTAAATGCTTTTTTATAAGGTTGACCCAAAACATGTAAGATAAAGCATCAGAGATAACAGCAGGAGCTTCCATTAAAGAAAAAGATCATTTTTTCAACATAAAAAATGTAAGACTCTGAACTATGCATTTGACAGACTGAGGATGCTGAGTACACTTTTTAGCTATTAAAATGTTTCCATTCACCTCAACAAGGGGGAGCCACTGCTCTGCAGAAACACTCAGATGCTGAAACTGCTTATCCTGTATATAATGAAGGCTGCCAACAACTAGTGCAGATGCCCCAAATATTTCACTTGTACGACATAAACCTACAAAAACAAGAAATAACGTGATTTTTGTGTAGAAAATAAACACTGAGCGAGAACACCAAGGGAAAATACAAAGAATGCAAAAGAGAAATGGCTACTTTACCTATTACCTATTAGTTACCTATTTTTAATTAGTTTCAGCTCTTCCAAGCCACTCCTTGTTCCATATAAATTACAGGGAAAAAATGTTTTGTAACTTAGCAGAAAGATAAAAATGATAAAAGCACCGTGTCTGACAACATGCTTTTACAATACTAATTACACAAAGTAAGGGGCTAAGTGCCCAAGCCTTAGCAAGGATGGATGGTTTGACACATCCACACACAAGCTTAAGCTTTGAACCCAGCACCTGTTATCTGAGAGAGGATGAGATGTAACAGCATTACAATGCAGACAGCACCAGCTTGTGGGCTTTTCATTACTCACTGCAATTATTGAAACTGCTAACATCAAACACAATGGCAATAAAGTGTTTGCAGGATTTATTATGTCACAGCTGACACATCACGAAGGAAATCTTATCAGGAAACGGGACTCCACTGTCCAATGGACATGAGAATCTTGTAGGTTTACAAGATTTGGTTTAATTGTTACAGGAAAAAAAACAAAAAAGCAAGTGATTTCCTTTAACTGCACACACAGTGGAAAAACTCAGCTGTAGCAAATACAGAATCAGCAAGAAACTGAGCATGATTTACATCAAAATTCTAATTAATGCATGCTATGTGTAGGTACTTCTATTTTTTCCTTAAAATATATCTGTAGAAGACCCCTTTCTCTGAAGTGGGTAGGATTTTCTGTGGCTACCAGTTTCAGCATAATGATCTACTCTTCTGAGCAGTATTTAAATAATTTTCTAATTATTGACATAAAACGAAATTAACTTCCATTATCTAAGTGTGCTCCGAGGTCTAAAATGAAAGTTTGAAAATGTGCAACCAAACTTACCTCCTAAATTGGTAGGTTTATCAATAAGTGAGGCCACCACAATCAATCTGCTGTTTGATTTGCCAAGTTTAGCAGCACGATCCTGAAATGCCGTTTCCAAGTCTAAACTAGGAGTACTGTTCTTCCAGGGTATAATCTTTTTCTGAACATCAGTCCACTCTGGCTGGCTGTCTGCTTCAGCTGAATGTGAACCTGTAACAACAAACTGGATGTTCATATGGACATGCCATTGGGAGTGACACTAGTGCTTCAACAGAGAAGATGATCCATATGGTAATACTGGAGATACCATGCATCATCTACTGTTATTTTATGGGACACGTCCTGCTCACATAGATACAAGTTCACTTCAGCTGAAAAGCAGAGCTGAGATTGACTACAGATGTACACAGCTACTCCATCCAAGTAACTAAAATCAAGAGAGATTGGCTATATTTTACCCATGTCTTGCTGAGACCAGTCGCTTGGTTTCAGATCACGAAGTTCTGCTCGG